GGTCGATGCGGACTTGGCAGGCCGTGAGAGTCTGAAAGGTTCAGAGTGCACATACAACCAGGAGACGGGATTTCAGAGATGCTGTCAGGTCTGTTTAAGGCACACACTGCGTGATGCGTCCCCAGCCCCTGCAGAGACGGGGCGGGAGGCTGTCGCCCAGCTCAGCTCGGCCGAGGTGCAGAACCAGAGCCGAGCACGGTGGAGGGAGGGGAACGCGACCTGTGTTTTCTCACGAAGTCAGGACTGAGCTAGGGAACGAGTAGGAAACCTCTGCTGCCTACCAAGAGACAGTGCAGCCAAAGGTCCTTCAAGCTTTCAAGCCCTCCATGACCCTGAGGGGGTCACCCTGTCCTGCAGCACTCTCCTCTCCGGCGGAAGGACAGGGAGCCAGCGGAGCACTCACTAGTCCCTCCCACTGGGCAGAAAGCCACAGCCGCCCAGTTTGCACAGCTCCCCAGTGCCCCTCAGCACGACAGAGGGGGAAGGGATGCTAGCAGAGGACAGGGTCAGCAGGAGCCCTTGACGCGGACGACACAGCAGCACGTTGGGGAGAGCGGGCTCAGCGCTACCCGCTCTCCAGCCTAGTGGAAAGTTCCCACCTCACAGGGAAGGGAATGTGATCCTTTGAAAAACAAACACTAATTTGATGCAACAGAAGAGGAGGCAGCTGTGTGTCATCCCCCTTTGTCCCCCCAAGGGCTCTGGGGGAACCCTGATGCCGTTTAGAGACCAGACGGGCAGCGGTCCCCCCGGGCGGCTGCCGCCGGCCGCTGTGCCCACCCGGAGCCTGCTCCGCACCTACCCGCCGTATGTCACACGTTTAAGGAAAATATTATACGTTTCCAGACAGGGTGTGAAATTAATATTGCTTGGGCAGAGCGAAGGATCACTCCATCCTAGTGGTGGCACCCAATTATTCATCTGCCTGTTGAATATTAATGAGGATGGCAGGAATGTGCTACACAATGAGCAGCCAGAGATGGATAATTTGTCATCCAGCCTTTTCATCTGCTGCTGCTGGGAGGGGGGACGATGTACTCACTGCCACCACAAAGACAGCCTGCTGTGGTCCTGATGTCGAGGTGCTGCTCTGCAACCCGGCGATAAGGACACGGTTGGAGACAGGACCGTTCCAGTCTCCTGCACTTGTTCCCAAGAAGCAAAGCCCCTGCGGAGCTATTTGGGGTGGAACCAACAGCCTGGCCAGGTGAGGCACTGGGGAGGGACCAGTTTGGTGACACCAGTTGGGTGAGCTGGGCACTCCTCAACCTCAGGCTACGTGAATTCAGCTCCCAGATTAGACCTTTCTGGGAACGCTGACCACAGCCACCTTATTTCCCAGTGTTCCAGGCTGCTCCATGTAGTGAGTGCCTGGGCACATCCCACCTCAGCAAGGAGCAGTGGCTGTGAGAGGCTTCGACAAGGCAGGAAAGAGAGTTGCAGAGAGAAATCTCTCTCCCACCTCTACCGACCACCGAAACTTCCTTTTCATCCCATGCCCCGGCGCAGACCAGACCCCAGACTGCTGAAGCCCCTCTGCTGAGAGCAGGGAGCCCCCCGGCCACCGCCCTGAAGAGCCCACAGCAGGAACCGGCGAGAGCCCAGGGCCTCAAGCAGCCACAACTCGCTGTCTCGTCCAGAAAAGCTCACCGGCTGCGGTGGAATGGCTCCAGACTACTCATGCTGGTCTGAATGGGGCCCCAGGTGTCCAGATTAGGAAGATGTCCAGCTGGCTCCCCATCCACGCAGCTCCAGGAGTTACTGCTCCAAAGCACTCCAAGCCCCGGGCTGGGAAGTAAGGCAGCAGGGATGGGCAGCCAGCCGGCTCTGCCCTCCTCGGCACGTGCCCATCAGAGAGGCAAGTCTGGCCACCCTGTCCTCTGAAGCACACACGTCCCCGCCCCGGGTACCCCAAAACCACCATGACACTGGAAACACGCCTCAACTGTCACCAGTGTGCCAAGCTGTAACTCCAAAACCCCGTTAGCAGCCCGTGCTCCTCGTGCAGCAGCGAGGCAGGTGCGAAGGCGCTTCCTTCTCACTGGGCTGTGTGCTGTGAGGCCTAATTACAGCCAATTAAAAGAGCATCTGCAGTCATGGAGTGCCTATCTAATGATGCTGGAGTGGGAGTCCATATTCCCCTTCCCTCCCCACGCAGCTTTTAGCCTGAGTTCCATTCCCGAGCACGGCAGCAGCGTACGTGAGACCCAACCACGGGCACTGAGCAGCCCACCCAGCAGAGATTTACACATCAGCTTCAGCTCCCTCCCCAGGCAGGAGGATGTGGCCAGCTAACTCCAGAGCCCAACAGCAGCAGAGTGTGCCCGAGAGACGAAGCTGCCGGGGCCCTGCAACACAAGAAGCTTGGGAAGTTACGGCCCTGCAGCCGAGCGGGGTTGGCCGACTGCGAGGGCGCTCCCCCGGCTCAGGGCTGAGTTAGGGCGGTGGAGTACAGCCACCCCAGCACGGTCGCTCACATTCAGCCACGCAGACACGTTGCAAACACTCGCCCAACTGCGCCCTTACCCTCCCCTCGCAGAAGAGGCCGCGCTGTGCCGACGCTCCCAGCCGAAGTGACACGGCTGAGCGGGGAGCCAGTAACTTTAAGGAAGAGGATGGCAATGTGACAGTGACTTTCCCTGACATGACTGTACTTACAATGACAGCCTGGAAGTGTCTCGCTGATGAATGATGCAGCAGATGCAGAAGGCTAACGCTCTGACGCGGCAACAGCTGGGAGTATGCCTCCCTCCCTGCTGAAGGTGGAAACTGTTGCTCCCTGATGAGTATATTCTGCGGGGTGCAGAAGGGCTGAAGCCAAACTAGGACAGACCATTACAGAACAGTGAATGGTCCAGAAACTTTCCTACTTAACCCACAAGACTAAGACAAACAACAGGGTGAACTCCCTGCCCTGAAAAGGCTGAACGTGAAGCATAATGTGATGTTTCCTTTGGCTGTAAGAAAAAGGCATCATTAGCAAGGGGAGCTCCCTGCCACAGAACTACCAACACCCAGCACTTCAACAGGATTCAGGCACAGGTTCCATATTTACAGGACAAAAGTGCCACCCTGGGTTAGCAGTGCTGAAATAAAGTCAGAAAGGGCTTTGCTGTGGTTGAGGATGGAAGCCCACCCCCGAACACAGGTTAGTGGGCTACACTGCTCCCCCACGGCTTTATTTGCACCTTTTTCTGATGCATCTGCCCCTGGACGAGGGGAGACACGGGTTCAGCGCAGCCTGGCAGCTCCTCTGTCTCTACATCAGAACCGAGGAAAGCGGAGTTAAGCAGCACTGTGGATCCCCCAAGAGACCATCCACTTTTTACCCCACCAGACAGAGCACGGGGCCGTCTCCAGCTCAGTCACAGAAGGCTCTGCACAGAACGGTGAGGGCTCCAGAGCTTCCAGACTCTCAGCACATCCCAAGTTCCCAACTGCAAGCCTCAAAACCTCCCAAAACCGCCCAGATGCTGCAGGTTCAGATGGGAAATCTCGGAGGACACTGACAATGTCGTGAGAGACAGCCTGGTGCGGCCCTCTGCTCTAACCCGTACTGCATCACCTCGGCGGCAGCGGCCCGTGGTGCCTCCCGGCACGGAAACACCAGGACCAGGTGCTAACGCCTGTAGGGACGTCACTGACAGAGGCGCCTGACGGACAGGCCAGGAGGATCAGGTCTCCTGCGTGACTAACGTGACCTGCAGTCCGACCTGCCACCACGCAGACCCTTCAGCTCTGCCCTGAGCCCCGCCGTCCGGGACCCCGACGCCTCAGGAGTGGTGAAACGTCCCCAGGGCACACGTTTGTGCAGCGGTGCCTTCCGTCCAGTCTGCCCTTCCATGCGCTGCTCCTCTTCTCCACCAAGTCCTGCCGAGCTCCTCCCTCCCCAAAATCCCTCTGAGCTCTCTGCAGGCTCACCTGCTAGGACGGAGAGCGCTGCGCGCTGCTCGGCCCGCTCGCTCGGCTCACACGGATTTCCACGGAGCGCTGCCACGAGACGGAGCAGGGTCCAACTCTACCACCAGCCAACCGTGTCGCAGCCGCACAGCCAAGGACGAGGCACCCTGCTGCCCCCCGCCCGTCGCTCCGTGAGGCCTAATTGTTTAATTAAACGTTTGACTTGGCAATACAAATGCAAGGCTTCCAAGTCACCCCCCAGGAATCGGCCCTCTCGCTAGCCAATTCTGCACTTACACCTGACCCATGTGACAGAAGTCAATGTTCGATAACGAGCGTAATTGGCGGAGAAGCCTGC